CCCCTCCCCTACCTACCAACCTACTTCTTCCAAACTGCTCATAAACAGATTTTGCTGTCTCTTTCATCCCCATTTTTTCCGTTCAAGAATTTAGAACCCTTTTCAAGAAGCCTCCATTTATTCTGACCAAACCAAAATCAAACACATTCGCTCTCTCTGTATTCATCACCTTATTCTCTGTCAACTTTTTCGTTTTCCCTTTTCAGGGAACCTCTCCCTGCATCGATTTCATTGCCAAACCCCCGAATCATTCTGTTTCTTTGCTTTGTAAGTAAATGTAAGATCTCCTCTTCTTAACCAACCTAATTTTTGCTCCAAATTATTCGATTTCTCTGCACCTTTATTCTCTTAAAGTTTTACTTTATTTCTCGAAGTCGTTTTGATCTTGGTGGGTTTCTTTTAGGTTCTTCCCCCTATCATCCGATTCCTTCAATACCCATTTTGCTAGAAATCGTATTTGAAGTCCTGTTAATGTTTGTTGGCTGTTTGTAAATTGTCTACTTGTTGTTGGGATTTCTATGTTAACTTATAATTGGATCTGCTTATGTATTTTGTCTCGATTGCTCCCTCGCGTTGCATTTCACTTTTCTGTCAAACCTAACAATTTCAAGATTCAAAATATATGAATCTTGTTGCAGATTTATGACCACCATTACTGTTTAGTGGTGGTTGTTATTATGTTTAATATAGTTCGATAGGTTTTCTTGAAAAAGATTAAACCCCATATTAGTTTTGAAGTTGTAAATTTGATTCCCAAAGTCAAACTGTAGCTGTTCTTTTATTAAAGATGGGAGAAAGGGTTTCAGTGTCTAGTTTTGATGAGAATAATTGATCTGAATCAAATGATCTGCAATCTTTTAAGCATACTTTTATGTGTTGGGAGAAAGGGTTTCTTTGTTCCCAGAGTTTCTTTGTCTTTGCCCCTTTTTTGCAGTTTTCTTGATATGAAACTCAATAAATATGATCACAAATCAATGGAAATTTGGTTAATCTTTATGTGTATTAGAAGCTAATACTTGATTCTTGATTTCCAGAATGGCTGCAACTACATTTCACCAAGTCATTGGGACCCTCCAGTCTCATGGGTATATATGTAATTCTACCCTTCATCAGGAATTTGGAAACACTTCTATGAGGTCGATGACAAGAGGTTTTAGAGTTGAAATTAGACCATTGAAAAGAGAACGTTATTGCTCTAGAAATAAAAGCTGTGGATCAGTTCAAGCTTCATCTTCTTCTTATCAGATTTCAGCCCAGGATCCGATTTCAACCACATCAAATGGCACCTTCAAGGACCCTTCTAAGAATTCAAGTATGATAACTTGCTTTTAAATTTGATAAGATGATAAGAAATTACCCAATGACTAAATGTAGACAATGGTCGATTGGGCAAGAAAAACAGTAGGAGAATCTTGAAAGTTTGAAAGAATTTTCATATTTTTCTTGGTGACCATTTTCAAAATGTGGTTCGTATTTCAGGTGAAGCTGCTTTGATATTGATTAGGCATGGCGAGTCTCTTTGGAATGAGAAGAATCTATTCACCGGTTGTGTGGACGTGCCATTGACGAAGAAGGGCGTGGAGGAAGCTGTTGAAGCTGGTAAGAGGATATGCAATATACCCATTGACATGATATATACTTCTGCCTTGATTCGTGCACAGATGACTGCTATGCTTGCCATGACTCAACATCGTCGCAAGAAGGTACCCTGATAACCATGCATGAATATTTTGTATATGAATATATAAACAGATAAGAATATAGAGTATATTCATATATGAATAAACACAGAGACATAAGAATGTAGTGTATATTCATATATGAATACTTCTGTCACGTTGTCTGAACTTTAACAATCTGATAACCAATGCATAGTCTTGAAGGGTTTAGTCACCATGATTCAGTTTCCTCAACAATGTCGTCGCTATGCTTTTGGTTCTTGTTGGATTTCAATTCTAACGAGATAAAATTCATCAACTGGTATGCAGGTGCCTATTGTCATGCATGATGAAAATGAACAAGCAAAGGCATGGAGTCAAATTTTCAGTGAAGAAACTAAAAAGCAGTGTATACCCGTCGTTACAGCTTGGCAACTAAATGAAAGAATGTAAGTATTACATCTCTAAACTCGAGTTTTGGGTCATTTTCATGCTTACAAAATTCTAGTTTGGCCTTTTAAGGTTCTTAGACTTCCATTTTTTCTTCTTCAGGTATGGGGAACTACAAGGCTTAAATAAGAAGGAAACCGCAGATAAATACGGTAAAGAACAAGTTCACAAGTGGCGACGTAGTTATGACATACCTCCACCAAATGGCGAAAGTTTGGAAATGTGTGCTGAAAGAGCCGTTGCATACTTCAAAGAACAAGTATGGACACAGTTTTAATCCGTATTTCTGTCGTTTTCTACTAGTTGTAACTTTTGACTTCAACTAATTCTTGTGGGCTACTTTAGAGCAACTGATATGGCTACTTTTTCTGGCCAAAAAGCCATTGGTTCGAGCCATGGTGCACCTAAAAGATTGTTGAACAATTGGATCTGACTATTGGAAGTGTTTCAGATTGAACCTCAACTCCGAGCAGGAAAGAATGTAATGATCGCTGCACATGGGAATTCCTTGAGGTCTATCATCATGTATCTCGACAAACTCACTTCCCAAGAGGTGAGATCCCGACCATTTGTTCTATTTGTTTGTTTCGTTTTATCGGTTCTTGAAAACCGTATGCTTTATAATGTTAGGTTATAAGCTTGGAACTATCAACGGGGATACCTATGCTTTACATAGCCAGTGAGGAAAAATACATCAGAAGAGGAAGCCCGGCAGCCCCTACTGAGGCAGGCGTCTATGCTTATACTAAGGTGAACATATTTTCCTCCATTACTTCGTTCATTCCCAATATATCCCATTCGACTAATAACCATATTCTAAATGAGGTGGGCATTCGGATTTATGTACGTTTATTTGGTCTTGGTTGCAGAATTTGGCTCAATACAGGCAGAAGTTAGATGAGATGTGGAATGATGCCTAAATTTCTTGCGAGGAGCGCGTATTCTTGACGGGTCAGTATGTGTACATTTTGCTTTCTAGTAAAGAGAATGTTGAACCCAAAAGTAGCGAAGGGAGTGTTGTTAGATACACATTTTTTTGAATCTTGAACCCAAATTTTGTACTGTGTAGAAGATGATATAGTGATTGAGGTTTCTAAAATGATCCCATTCTTGATGCAATAATCCAACATACAGTTTGAATCACTTTCACTGCTCCGTATCTCTTTATCCGTGGGGCTGTTCATCCCATTCTTCGGGGTCGTTAAATGTGAAACCATAAATATTCGAAACTTCGGGCATTTGGGGCTAACTTTTTAGGGTTAATTTGTTTAAACTGTTAGTAATTTGGGAATCACTCTTTAGGTTTACTGACAATTAAAGATCTTCTGTTTTAGTGACTTAAAACTGCCTAAAACTTGGCAGGTATGTTTCTAAGAACTTGTGAAGTTTCTTTCGGAATTGGGATCGAACCATTACGATTTCGATTGCATTTGCAATCTGTCATTTATTCCATTTCGATCGTTGGCTGTTTGTCGTCGCACTTGTTTGGTAGCCTTTTAACACTTCATTAACTCAACAAACAAAACTTTGATCCAAGAACAAAATTAAACCGAAATATTAGCAAAAAATCATGAAGAAATAGACTTCAATGGTGTCGGGTTAGCGAAATACGGAAGTTTCGAATCAAAAAAACAAGAAAAACAAAACCAAAATCGGTTTCGTTACTAAGCCTCAATCCGGGCACCTCTTCCGCCACCATCAGCTGCTGCAATCTTTTGAGCCTCCGCCAATATCGCCTCCTCGTTGATCTCTGTTGGCGTTTTCTTCTCGCCATCTGAATCCGAGTCCGTATTTGCGATGCTGAAATCCAAGGAGACTGTGGAGGCCCGACCCGATGTTGTGCCGGAGCTGCTTGCTCCTTTGTAGAGAGCAAGTCTTTTTGCATCATCTTCTTTCATTCTGTCGGCGTATATCTTGAGGTCGAATTTTGCTTCGTTTTTCCCGCCAAATGCGGACTCGAGTTTGTCCATGTAAAACAAGCTCTCCATCACGTTCTTTGTGTTTGCATCGTCTGCATATACAAACTTCACTTTGTTTGCGGTTTTGGGCTCGAGAAAAGGCTTCACAACCTACAATAAGACGATCCCAAAAGTCAAAATTACAATCTGTAATACTAGATAACTGATAAACTAGTCACGTTTGATAAAAACCAGCTGATAAAATACATGAAAATGTATATGACCTAAAAGGACATGATAGAACAATTAATTGAACAAATATAAAGGGCATAATTGGAAAATGATGGAAAAAAAACCCTTGGAGCTTATTGAAACACTACTTGAAGTAGCTTTTTAGAAAACTAGCTTATCATATGGCAAACCTAACAGGGTTTTTCCAATAAGCTCGGTTATGCTCGCCAAACACGGCCTAAAAGACCAAAGGGTCATTGGGCCAACAAATCGAGGATCCAAACCTCAACAAAGGTGAGGAGTGTGCTCGAGAATTTTCCGTATATAAATATTATATACTTACAAAAAACATGGCCTTAAAGTAGAGGTTTGACCTGAAAAGTCAAATGTACCTTCCAGAAGGGTTCGAAGAATTTGGGCGGATCGTAAAGTATTGCTAGGCCGAGCCTCTCGGGATAATGGTCTTGCAAGATATGAGCGGTTTCCTTTGTGGATTTGATGGATATATTCGACATACTGAAGCCGTGAAAATCGATCAACCAAACCATTTGTTCTTGTTCTGGTGGCAAATTCAATATGGCGTTCTCCATACAATATACCAAATATTTGATTTGTGCTCGCGTTGACTTCGAGTTCTGCAGTTACATATCATGAAAAGTGTGTGTATCGAACACAAGTCAAACAACTAAAAACTTCATTCATTCATCAACTGAACCGTCCTTAGAGGCTATTTGGTTGTTTTTCCATTAACGTCTGTATGGATTAAGCTAAATTGTTGTGCTGAACAAACTGTTTAAACGACAAAAATGACCATTCTACCCTTGCTCCATTACTAGTTTTCAGGACCCGATTGGCCTAATCATCTTTGATTTACGTTTTTATTTCATAAAGTAGGATCATTAACGATTCTTAAAACAAATATGAACGTAGAAAACTTAACGTAGTCATGTAGGGCAAGCGGAAAATGTGAGATGAAACCTGGCATCTAGGTCTCATAACAAGTACGGTCCTCCCATGCTTGTCCATAAAACTTGATCGGTAGATTTTCCCCGTCTCTGCCTCGGCCGCAATATGTTCCTACATCATATAAATAAAATAATTCAAAGGGTTTGCACATAATCCGTCATGGTATCAGAGCTGACGTCTACCACCACCTAGGGACTCCACACACTCTCTCGCCTCAGTTCACTACAACAAAATCGACTTTATAGGATGTCAAATATGTCTAAATATTCTAATAGATTGCTTTATAGAACCAAACAACTGTACGCACTATATAATGGTGTTATAGTAGGATGTTTCGGGACATTTTCCTATTAGCTTTTTTATGACAATTTCAATAAATGTCCTACGAACACATTTTTTTACAGGACATTTATTTTTATAAGACATTTTTCCAAATAATACCATATAAAAAAGGTGGATGCTTTATTTCAAAACTATTCTAAAAAAACTCCCAAAAACATCTTATCAACTTATTGTAACACTTTTACATGTTAAGTCATGAAAAGCAATTTATTAGGACATGTAGACATATTTAACATCCTATAAAGCCGATATTGTTTTAGTGGCTCGACGAAGCTGGAGTCCCACATCGGCTAGACATGGTCCATCAAGCCTGTATATACGTAGGAACCTCATTTTCTCTACAATCGCTCTAGAAAAGATTAGAAGGGGTTCCGCATAACCTTGCACACGTTTAAATAGCTTTTCAACATGCCAATCGACATAATAACCTCTAGCGATTATTCTAGCCGTAGCATCAAACATATATAACGGATTTGTAGCTAAAAACGCGAAAAATTTAGAAATGTAAAGAAGAGGTACAAAAAAAAGATGATAACGGAAGTTTACCCAACGAATCTCTTCGGGTTTATAGTTCATCCTCCATACTAAGGATGCTTCAAGCATTTTTTCCGCCTTCTTAATGTTCCAATTCCGGGCTCTTAGATATCTCGAAATCGATTCATCAGAGCAAAAACGAGTATACTCATCTCCAAGACGTTGTTTGATCTTCTCAATCGACTTGTGCTTCTCAATTGCCTTTCGCACCTCACTAATCTAAAATAATAGCATATTCATGAAACCTTTATGGTTTCTTCGTATCTAACTGTATCGTAACTTAAAGCGCTTGAAACGATGAAACTTTATGGATCGAAAACGTACCAACTTTGGTTGATCTTGCAGGGTCACGGAGACATTCGAGTTTGTTTTCCTCAATTGTGGGTTCATAGCTTTATAAGAGGTTCTGTATTTTAAGAATCAGAAGAAATATTTAACCGAAGTCAAAGTCAAAGTCAAACACATCTATTTTCGACTTCGAATTTGATGGGTATTTTTTAAAAATTAGAGCAAACCTTAGCATAGCTAAATTCAAATTGATCAAAACAAATGACTACAAAATGGTTGATATCAAATTTATGACTGGATCCATATCAATTTTGATTTTGAAAGCAATAGGTTTGACCTAAAAAGTCAAACCAGATCTTTCTTTTCTGTTACAGTAACACTAAACCTTTCTCTTCAAAGAATGAGAAAGAAGGCAATTGGTAGAATTCAAGGACAATCATGCAAGACTAAAAAGTCAACATTTTTTTATCGAATTCAAATAATCCCACGTGATTATATACGCTCTCGGGCCAAGAACGATTCAAATTCATTTGGTATATGGACAGGACCGGGCCGGATGAACGAGAGTGAGGTAAGCCGGTTAAGACATGGGTAGTTTAGTAGTTTACCAATCTAAAAAAAAATGCATTTTTGTCCTATGAGTCAAGTACCGTCTTGTCTCAGTCTAATGCCCCACCAAACATGTAAAACAAGTTTTTGTACTGTTTCTGTTCCGTCTTGCGTACAGAACGCACCAAGAACAATTCAAATGCGTAGAAAGGGAGTACGTACAATTCAAGAACAATCACGCGTTGATGGTAATTTAAAGTCTTGTTTTATCGAATTCAGATAACCAACATAAGTTCAAGCAATTAAAGGTTCAATATGGTTCAAGAACATTCATGCATTGACCGAAAAGTCAACATTTTTTTCATCAAATTCTAATGAATACGTAAGTATAAGCAACTATATAAGCAATCCATCCAAGAACATCAATTCATGTATGGTTCAAGAACAATCATGCATTGACTCAAAAAGTCAACATTTAAATCCAGACAAGCAACTAAAACACATCATAGGTTCAGTACAGTCAAGAACAATCATATGATTATTCAAAAAATAAGCTTTTTTTCCATCAAATTCAGATAACCCACATCAGTATAAGGAACTAAACACACAATTTACCCTCAAAAATTAAAAATTGAAATAAAAAAGACTGCAATCAGTATATGGTTCAAGAACAATCATGCACTGACTCAAAAAAGTCAAACTTTTTTTTCATGAAATTAGGGTAAATTGGATCAAGAACAATTCAAATTCCAGAAAGAAGAAAAGGGAAATCAGTAATTGGTATCGAATCAAATCCAATCGAATCCAACTAACACATAAACTGATTCTACAACTGGGGTTTGTTTTCTGAAACCATTTTCTCCAACCATAAATTTATCATATAATAATCCAGAATTGTATCTGTATCTGTATCTGTATCTGAATGAAAAACGAAATTAGCAAAGTAAACAAGATTGGTTGATGGATGAGATTAAAAACGATTACCTTTTTCTTGTGGGGTTGTAAGAACGAGGAAGATCTGAAAGAAGATGAAACCAATCATCAAGAAAAGACAATCGATTAGATTAAAGGGTGTGGATGGGTTCTTTGTTTTTGTTGGTGTCGATCGATGGAGGAAGCCATGTGTCAAAAAACAGGGTGATTGTGATCGTAATTGTGATTGTGATGATGGTGATGATGATGATGATGGTGATGATGAAAGCTCAAAAGTGGATGGATGGATGGTTTGTTGGACAAGGTCAATTTGGACGTCTCAGAAACAGGAACTTAGTAGGATCTTGGTATTACTTTGTCAGTTTGAATTAAAATTCCTTAGTATGATTGGTTTTATCTTTAGCTTTAAAGGTTAAAAGTATCAGGTGGTCTCAAGTTTAAATCCAAGAAGGAATAAAAATCCCCTTTGGCCATGGAGGTTCAAATGCGATAACTCCGGAATATCTGCAAAGCAGGTGGTCGGTCTGGGATTAGTCGGCTCGCATAGCGGGTTGGATATCCAGATTAATAAAAAAAAATACATTTTATTCAAATGTTTATTAAACAAAACAAGTAAATTACGTAAATCGTTCATGTGGTTTACTGAAACACGGAATTGCCACTCGGGTTTTGAATTTACACCAGAGTCCCTGTCGTTTTCAGTAGCTTATACTCGTAGGTTCTGACATTAACGGTGTTAAAGCTATCAGACTTAAAGAGCCCCTCATATGAGGGCATTTTGGTCATTTTGAGAGTTGGGTTTTCTTTAGTTTTTATTTTTAAATGGTTTACATACTTATACGATGATATTTTATAAAAAAAAATGCAAAATGACTAGAACGTGAGGTTGTGAGGGATACTTAACGGATGAACAACGCCTGTTAAAGACAGAGATGATGAGTGTAAACAAATGGAAACATGAGTGATGTTTCGGAAAATCACATGGACTATTTATGTAATTTACTCTTAGTAAATTGTTTAGGTTGTGTGGTAAAAAACGGTTGGCAAAACTCGAAAGATAATCGTTGAGCAAAAAGTTCAAGGCATCTCGATATGTTCGGATTTTTATAGTAGACTAACAAATCAGATTATACAGATATCTAGTTCTATTTTGTACAACAATCGGGGGTAAAGAATTGGATTTCCATTTGCTTTCAATAAAAATGATTTCAGTGGTTCCCTGCTCATGATCCGATCGCATAATGATGTGACATTTCATTTTTTCCATTTGAATTTGATGATGTGATTTCAGGGTGAGCGATGTTGTTGGTTGTAAAGGGTTTGAATGATGTAGAGTTTGAAAACGATAAAACTGATTTATGTTTTTTTTTTTTACTTTAAAACATTACTTACCAGTTCCATGTAGCCTTTTTCAAGAAAAAGAAGGCAGGTAAAGTTTTGATGGTTTGTTTATTTAAAGAAAATATTCAAGGAGTTAATCTTTTAAAATGAGAAATTTCAGTGGTCTATTTATTAAATAACACGTAGTAATAACGTTAAATATTTATTTAGTCACAAAAAATAACACACAAAGTCTAATCTATAATAATTTAAAGCATTTTCTTAAAAATTATTATTTATTATCTTTAATTTCTTTTAATATTTTAATTTCTTTCTGTATTCATTAATGTTCGTTAAAATTTTGATCATCATATTCAACAAATACATTTTTTATGTCTCCGTCAGTACTACAGTCACCAGTTGCTATTGTGATCACCATCAGTCGAATTTTTTGTATTTATATTTAATAGAGTGAATGATACTGTTGGTTTCTATTTTGACTTTTTTTATTCTTAAAATTTATTAAATATACCACTAGTCCATTACGTGTTTCACGTAACAAAAACGTTCCTTGAGTTAACACATTTAAAAGGACATTTCATTAGTGGTATTAACCCAAGGGACGTTCGTTATGTGAAACACAAACTAGGGATCACTAGTAGTACACTTAACGAATTTTAGGGATCAAAACTAGAAAAAATCAAAGTGTAGGGACCAATGGAGTAATTCACTCTATTTAAAATTTTTGTAACCCCTCGAAATAATTAAAGTAGATTGGCGGGTAAAAGAATTTTGAAAAGTTTTGTTGTTTTAATATGACACGCTAGTTTAGAAATTTATTAAGCGTGTTCTCTCTGGTTTTTGTTCCACCTAAAAATCATATATAACATTACTAAATCATATGTGTATGTATTTTCAAAGTCACATACAACTCATTTTTGATCCGTGTAGATCACGTAACTGGTTTGGTCTGAAAATGCTATCTACGTAACCCATATTTAATCAATTTCATGTATTCAGGTTTTAATATCATATACAAGTTACTAGCATGTTTTTTTTTACTCCTAAACACATTTAGTTCATGTTTAAAGGATGTATCATGCATTAAAATACTAGAGTTGCCAATAGGAATGGCAACGGGCCGGGTATTAGTATCCCTGTCCCCGTAACCGTCCCGATCCCCGTCGGGGATCTTATCGTGTCCCCGTGGTTTTCCTGATCCTCGTTGGGGAACCCGTTAAGGGTATAAAAAGAATCACCGTTGGTTATAACTGAACCCGAAACCGATCTAAAAAAATTACAATATGCTAATTTTCACAATTAAAAGTAAATTACAAGTTTAAATGTCTCAAACATAATCGAACCAATTACAAACAATATATTATAATATAATATAGAACTAAACAGAAATTCAAAATCATACAACTAAAATCACGATTTTAAACAAATAAACTAGACTTTTTCGTGAACATTATTTGGGTTGTTTAGGTAAAGTGGATAAAAGTCTTTTAAATTTGAATGTTACTATTTTCTTTTAATATGATTATATATATATATATATATATATATATATATATATATATATATATATATATATTTATATATACACACACATATTGCGCTGGGCCGGGCCGGTGATCATCGTCCCCGTCCCCGTTAAAATCCTCGAATTTATCCCCGATCCCGCCCCATCCCCGATAAGACGTCCCCGATAAGACGTCCCCGAACTTGGCCCGAAAGTTTCGGTTTTCACTTTTCACCGTTGGTTTCAGGTTTTTTTGCCATCCCTAGTTGCCAATTTCTCATCAATTATGTGGCCTAAGTGACCTTTAAAAAAAAAAAAAAAAAACACTCCCTTATAATTGTAGATTTAACAAAATATCTTGTTCTTATAAGAACAAAGATAAAAATGACATTAAAATTCAAAAGATTCCTATACGAGAACAAGGATCAAATTGAGGTCATGTTTGTTATTGGTTGAATTGCCTTTATAGACCATATAACTTATCCGGTCAGCCATAACCAACTCTTCGGTTGTGGCTTAGTTTGAAAGTAAATGACTTATACAGTAAGCTATGAATGAGATGTTGTCTAGATTAAAACAATATTTTGGTCTAGATATCCTTCTCAATTAAACACACCTTCATCGCATCAAAAGCTCAAAACTCGTATTCAATCCAACACCATCGCCTCAAATCTCTCCATCCAACGCCGTCGTAAATCTTTCTCAGACCAAGAATCGAGGTGATGGCGGGCAAAGATCGAAGTAAACCCCTTGCTTTGCTCTTCCGCATCACACCTACAGACGAACCGGAGCCCTTGACAGAATTTTTTTTATTTAATTTTTCGAACGGATGAATCAGAGAAGCAACACACCTCCAAGAACAACTCATGGAAAGGCCTACCTATTGATTTGTGGTTATTTTTATTTAGGGTTCATATATTTGGGTTTCATTTGATTTGCTGGTATGGATGCTTTGACGTAATAAGATTAATCTATGAAGTTGTTGTTTCATGATTTGTTTACAAAGCTGAAATAATCAATTTTAATCAATCGAAATGCTTATTCAACACAGCAACCGAACAACATTTATCTAATATCATACATACAACATTATCAATACAAACATTTTATCCATACATGAATTCATGGAAAACCAACCGAACAGTCGGTCCCTTTCATAGGTTGTGAACTCAAGATGCAAAGAAATCCAAGTACAGAAGAGGTTTATTTATAACAAGATGTTTCTGTTTACCAAGCCGCCCTTACCGGTCCATGATGTTGATCTGGTAAGCTAAGAGAGGGACTCAAACTCGGCCAGTGATTAGTATTAACCCAGCCCTCATTCTTGTCCAGTTAGCCTTTACCGAATTTGTGTCGGTAAACATCTTCAAAATGCAGAATGCACCAAAACTCAACTTTATGAGGTTTGAACACTTGCCAAATCCAACACCCCAAGATTCTTCTGAAGCAAGATATCCCTTGTGTTCATATCCAATAATTTCAAAACCCATTGGTTTTCCAATCACAAAAAGCCCACAACATCAATAATGTAATCACAAAAAGTGTCTTTTTAAGTTGATAAATATTATTTCCAAAGTAAAAAACATGTACAACAAGGCCACCATCACACCCCCAAAGTTCACAAATTCAGTAAAGTTGTTTCCCTTAACCCATCAACACCACCCTTTCTGTACAAAATCTTGACTTGACTAACAATTGTTCAAGGTAGATACTACTATATGAATCCATCCACATAACAAACCCTATATCTTTGTATTCATTCATCATTCCCTTCCTTCCTATACCCACATCTGTTTTTACCCCATTTCAACACTCAATAAGTTTAAAGAAAAGCATGCAATCCATGGATGCAAACCCTCAAGGATCCATGGTGTCTACATGATCATGCAATTTCTCATACAAGTTAAATATCATGGACTACATGGAATAAAGGGAGAGAGATTGCTCACCTGCATACTCCGGTGACGAATTAAGGGTTGATTTTGCATGGCCCAGATGCACTTTCTGGGGATCAAACTGTTAGCACAGAGTCAATCATCCACACTTGGAACCAGTTTCTTTCACAAATTCCCATTTCTGGCTCATTTCAAGAGTTTTAAGCAACTCCACTCTTTCGGGTCACTCTAAAAGATGGACGGACCTCACTGTTTCGAGCTTTAGATACGCCCAGAGTCAAATTTTGTTCAATTTTCATGAACCCACAAGAAAAAAACTCGACAACCAGAAAAACTGGAATCATGGGTCTCTTTTTCCTGTAACCGGAGTTGAATTTGGTCTCTTTTGAATGCCATGTTGCCAGGCATCTCTTGAACGATCACCAGACTGATCAAAATCATCAAGAGAATTATTCTCCGTTGGTGGCTTGAAAGGGCGGTAATTCCCATTTCTTGGAGCAAAAGATGAGTTTGTTTTCTCGTCGTCTTCTGATGGTGTTCCTGACCTAGACTCCATGTGGTCATATGATCTGTGTCTTAATCCAGGTCTCTTCAAACCCCTCATGTTAGAAAACCTTGCTTGTGGTGGACCATAGACTGGTGGTGACACCTTTGGTGCCAAGAAATCTTTAGGAAGCGAGTCCATGTCCATATAACACTCCCTCGTCTTTGCATCAGCGATTAGTGCAGCCCAATCGTCCGACTGAACCAAAGTACTCGCATTCCCCATCACCTATAACAGACGTCGAGAGTAATATGGAAGTTCATGAGTTGGTAAATACAAAAAAAGAAGTCAACGAGAAAGAAAAAAGGGTAAGAAATTAATACCCAAAGTGCCCTTTTTGCACGTGTGAGAGCAACATTCATCCGGCGAATATCAGCAACAAAGCCCACACCATGGTTCGAAGCACGCACACAAGACATAATGATGACATCACGCTCTTGGCCTTGGAAAGCATCAACAGTATTGACATAAAGATCCTTTCCTTCTTCGGATTTCAAAACTTCCTCAAACTCTCGTTGAATACATTTCAATTGCAGCTTATACGGCGTTATTATGCCCACAGAAACTTTCGCTATACCCAAAGACTTGACACTTTTCTGAAGATGTTGATATAAACGAAGACAAAACTGGGCTTCGTGTATATTCTGATAAGAGACAGACCCACCCCGATGCGACTCTCGTCCATGTGTAATATCATAAAAGATGTAAGGTCTTAGCAAAGGATCCTTGTAGTATACCTCATCGGCCAAATTCATGACACTTTCACTATCGGTGAGGCGTCCTTGATAGAAGTATCGAGAAGGAAATTCTCGTATTTGAGGATGCATTCGATACTGCACAGAAAGCAACATTGTTGGGCAGCCCGCTTGTTGAAATCTTTCAAAAAGACTTCTACTGTAGAGTAAGGTTCCGGCAGCTTTGCTAATAACAGTTGCTGGAAGTTGCTGTGGGTCCCCCACAAGAACGCACCGGGCTGCACCAAGAGCAAGAGGAGGAAGCACTCCTACTTCACTAGCTTGGGCTGCTTCATCGATGACAACCATATCAAACCCGTGGGTGAGACGTGAGAAAAGTTTGCGACCACTACTTGAGACGGTAGTGAAAACAACCTCAGCCTCGTTGGCAAAACTGGCTTCTAGACTAGCACGAGCTTCCTCCAAGTTAAAGTTCCCTCCGCTACGGAACCTGCCTTCTAAAATGAAAAGGCGAGACATTTCGACTAGAACTTTGTCCCTGTTCTCAACCACGGCTGCAAGATTTTGCAATAACGAATCTCGGCTCTGGTCCCGAGCCACTAGAACTTCCGGGTCCACCCCAACAGATCCTTGGGACCGACCCGTGAAAGCTGCAACATTAAGTTCTCTCTGAAGGGATGCTATTTGCTGAGACAACTGAGCTTCACGGCCTCTTAACTGATGCATCCACCCGTAAACTTCATCTCGGCTCTTCATTAAAAGCTGCTCCGTTCTTCGCTCAACCGACACCGCCTGAGCTGCCCTTGTTTGCGTATCAACCCCGACTCGAGCCACATCGGGACGGTAAACCTTCATCTCACCGTCAATGAACCCACGGTCAAGAACACGGGTAAGCAGCTCATCGGTTGCAGCATTTGAAGGAGCACAAACAAGCATTCTTGGCTTCGGGCAGAGCTTATGAAGAGTTCGAAAAAGGTTCTGATCCATGTTTTGGAGAACCTCATCAATGGACCCAATAGGGGCGCTTTCGGAAGAAAGACTCTCGGTTGCTTGTTTGTAGCTTTCAGGAGCGAGTTTTTTAAGCAATGCAGTATAGTAATGCTGATACTGAACAAGATGAATAACATTCAGCATTCCCCAWACTGTATGAGTCTTTCCTGTTCCAGGTGGGCCTTGGACTAGGGTAAAGGGCCAAGGTTCTTGCCTCTTTGTCAACCCATTAGTTGTACCAGCAGCAGTATGCGTTGCTGCCCAGTGGATTGCTGACAACTGCGGTCCATTGAAGGTTTTGTGCAGATAATCAACAAAGTTTGGTGTAAAACAATCGGGCATTGCAGGTGCCTGTTCTTCATATTTGGGGAAGAGCTCTGGGCTCGGTTGAAGAATCGCCGTTTGCATCTACAGAAAGGCATCAAAATGATCACTTGTTAGTGCAAGCACAATGAAAGATTATTTCCTATTGTTTCTTCATTGATGAATGAAGACATTTGACACTGAAGTTGCAGGGTTCACCTGTGAATTGAGTCTGCGAAATGCATGCAATGCAATATATTCTCTCTGAGTTGTAGCAAGAGAGCCAAGAACAGTAAGAAACCAGATTCCCTTGGGGTGTAGTTTCCTTAGAATATGGTCATCATCGACCTTGCTGTAATTAGCGACCAGAGGAAATTCTCGATTAGCATACTGGCCATGAAAACAAGCAAGGAAGAAAGAAAATATATAAAAATTACATGTATCAACAGACCTGCTAGAATCATATGAATCCCCGACATAGAAGTGAAGGATTGCCCCTGTAGGATCACGAGTATCTATTGGTATGTGCCGCCTAACAGTGCCAGCCACACGTCCACTGATCTCTGCCTCCTCCCCAGTAATTGAACTGTTGTTTCTCTTTGATATGACTGTTTAATAGAAACAGGACTTTTCTTTTATTAGATTAACCATTGTAGGTAGAGGTTGGTCATTATTTAGTCTGTGGTTCAGTCATCAAGAAACCAAAAATCAAGTCTTTCTAATTTACCATTCAATGATGCTTATCTATTGGGACACTTGTCATTCTAGAGCTGCTCATGAAGAAATTCCTATACACTAGTAATAAAAATTTAAACATATGCATCCCTTCATTTAGTTTGTGGTTCAGTCGTCAAGAAACCAAAAACCAACCCACCAATTACGAAGGGAAAAAAAATCAAGTCTCCCTAATTTTCAAACATTCGGTTTGCCCTTGTGAATGTTTCCGGTTCTTTTGTTTTCCCATATATATAGCTTGATAAAAGTTTTTTTGGTTACCAGATTTAAGATTGTAAGCAAACCTGTTCCAGGTCTGGGGGTTGAAAGAACTGCCACATCACCCTCCTTGAAATTCCATCTGCATTCATTTGCAGGTAGAAGTATCACATCATACCAACCTGTAAACACACATGAAATTAAGTAAAAGCAGTACCATAAAATAAAAGATTAAAGAGAATATATGATCCAGATGAAAAAAGCCACTGCTTGAGTCTAGCACACTAAGCATAGGTCAATGGAAAAGATACAACTAGCAAAAAATACAAAGTTGCTCTTTTGCACAAGACAGTGCAATCACGCTTGGCTAGTTGCTAACACTCAAAGCTTTTACATTTTCCAACCATACAATGGCTATTAAATAGTCATTAACACCTAGAATCTGAAATAAGTTGTGGGAATAACACTTCCACACCATCAAGCAAAGTATGCTTTAAATTCAGAAGTCTAGACGATCAATAGGATGTGCTCAAGTTATCTGAAGAGATTTGAGGTCTTACTTTTTAGAAAATTTAATGAAGATGGGTCCCATTGACTTAACATGAATAGAAATGAAGATGAGACATACAAATTGGAGAATGAAAGAAAACCATATAGACGAATGACATCTGAAGTTGCCTTATTACTTATTAGGCATCAACATATAAATATTTAGAATAACTTATAAACAAGATGAGATGTAATACCTCTTTCTCTTCTCTCAACACTTCTTATACGGACCATTGCATGCAAATCTCTAGAAGCCGTTTCGGTTAGTTCCTCCCAGGTACTGTAGAGCTGTGCCCGACACTCCTCAAAAAGCAAAGGCTCAAATACTCTAATGTATTCTTCTACTGATTCAAAGCTTCCAGGAACACACTGAAGCTCTGCCTCCTCTGAATGTCCAAAATTTGTGGTCGTTTTATTACACGAGAAATATAAATCCATAAAATAAATGCAAATTTGTAAAAACCAATAGATGAAGGATACCACTCACTATAGTAAGGCCGACAAATTGTTACTCTTTCATCATGAAGTTACAATTTAAATAGTAATCTACTTGTAATAGTTAAGCTAAACCTTCATTAACAAGAAAATGGAAATTCATATCCTAATTTTTTCCTGCAAGGCAAAAGAAGCCATTACTATTTACTGCATTTACAAGAAAATGGAAATATAGATTGTCCCTGATCCATGCAATGCGAATCGTATTGTAAAATTCAACATATATTGCAAAAGATGATTATTAATATTCCAAACAAGTTATGGAAGTGGATAGTTTCTTAAATGTAATGTAACAGCAATGCACATTCTAGTTATCTAACACCCAGAAGCCAAAAGGGTCACTAACCACCATTCTATGTTCTCAATCTTATGATTTGAAGATTTCATTTTTATATTTATTTTTTTCCTCTTGATGACAAATGCATCCATAAGGCCTTGTTGGAATCTTCTCAAAATTTTAAGTTATTTATCCTTATTGCAATCACCTATCCTTCCAAATCAAGTTCATCATGATTTGCAAATCATGTATCTTTAGTGTTATGAAGTAGATTCACATTCAGCTCAGATATTAAGAGAGGTGGAAAAGCAAGAAACTTAGTATTATAAAGCTATCGCATGTAGTAGTACCATATATGAACGTTACATATGAACAGAATCTAGGACATGATGGTGCCAGACAATACCCTACCAGTTCAGGAGGTTGCATATTAACTGCCCCTATTGAACCTAACTATTAATACTGGATAAGAAGGCAAAGAATCACTTTTTGCCAGTGTGCCCTTGAGGTTTTTTCCCCTTGTTTTCATCAATCAAATTTATGCACCAACTATTGCAGCATCATCATCTTGAGGTTTTTACCGGTTGACTGCTTTTTGTAGTCTCCAATCAAGATGCTGACTAAGCTGATTTACCCTAAAAATCATTTTTTGCTAAAATGCATACAAGACAAAAAGTGGGTTTAAGAAGAATATAGATAAACAGCAAATCTCTACACTCTCTCCATATATAAATATATAAGAAATAGCACAATCAGAGGTGCAGTTACATTTTCCTTCACCACATGTAGGACACACAACAAAGATCTTGGTAGGTGAAGATAGTTTGTGCCAACAAAATAGAAGAGCATAAGTTTGTTTTTAGGGTCTTCTTTACTTCTGGATACTGGGGGTTAGACTGATCTGAGCACCACTAACAATGATGCAAAATTAGGCAGTAAATGACCTCTACTTCCTCTCCATCAGTCTCAAGCACCCTCTATTTGTCTGCATCAGCATCTCAGTGAGATGTCCCCACAAAAGAAAAAATATCCCCTCCTACCTGGCTAATTTGGGCATGGGTTGGCTGGTGGTGTGCTAGGTTTGATGGATTGGCGTGTAGTTGGTGTTTCATGTTGTGGTAGGATTCAGGTGCTGGTATGTGTGGAGGTAGATTTAAGGTGGTAGCGATGCCGCAACTGGTTAAGGCAATTGCGGTGGTCCAAATATGTGACGTGGTGCGTTGCAGTGTATATGAATGAAGCTACGGGGAGTCAGGTTTGAGACTTTTGAGTTTTGGTGGATGTAATGATGTTGGTCATATTGATGTGAAATAGGATGCAGAGGTGCTTCCGTCCTTTATAAGTTCAGTTCATCAGGGGTGCAGTAACATGCACACAAGGTACCAATTTGATTGTATCCTGAACTGTTGATGATGGATAGAATCAGATAAGGAAACGGAGGGATGGATGAAATTTCAAATTATTAAGTTAGAAATTAGGGCAAAAACTAGAAGTAAATATACTGTTTGTGCCGAGAGAGAGTAATGAGAGGAGGTAAACCCAACAATTTCCCCCCTAAAAGAACAGGTCCTTGTACCATATATGTATTGTGTGCTTATAGTGTTTCCTTGGAAATTGGTATGTGGGGGAAGGGGAGGAAATGAAATGACGAATAAAAGAAGGTAGAAGATAAAACTTAAATGTAGGACAAAAAGTTGAAGAAGAAAGAACACTTGAGTCTCCATGTCAATCAAAAATGGACTTTCAAAATTTGGAGTTTTACCTCCATGCCAGCTATCTCTTATTGAGGACTGCCCACAGTGACAAACACCAAAACATTAAAAAAAAACATTATGACATGGTGATCAATAGTGCCAGTTCGACCTGATAAGCAACACTTGCTCTGAAAAGATAATAAAGCCTCAAAGATCGGATATAAATGCAAGTTATATTCCAATTTCTGAGTAAACAGAATGATCAGGGTACAAATATAATTGTGTCCGATAATATTCCAAGATCCACCCTTGATCTCTTTAGATGTCATGTCAATAAAGGATGAAGGAACCCAGGAGTGGGAGAAGAAAGAGGTTTGACTATAATTCCTAATTTTTCATAAATAACTTATAGATAATTTGATCTGCTTGACAACATAAAGTCTTCCCCATGATCATTTCAATATCTGCTTTCTTATGCTAGTCGGGAACTCTGCAATGGCCAAATATGAAACAAGGACAACAACGAAAGTTCCTTACAAAAAGAGCCACTTCAATATGGAAGGCTTCATAGCATGTCTTCTATGCGTTTGATCAATTTGAATGTAATGAGAAAATAACATGAAAAATAGTTTCCATCCATGCTCTCCTCTGCCAGCTCATTCCAATTCAGGAGTGAAAGATAGTCATCAAGTTACCAAAAGGATGACATTTTTATTCTTAGAACATGATTTTCTTTCACAAGTCGACTAGACATGGCTAAATTATCACTATTCCCATTAAAGAGAAGAATTATGCACAATTTTTTTCAAGCCCTTATCTGCAGTCCTACAGAACACAGAATTAATAGTAAAGCCTAAGAAGCGATGCAAAAAATCCTAATTTATTGAAGAATGAGTTGGTGGATAGTATCTAGATATAGTCAATTTATGCAATAATTTGTCTTCTGGACCTACAATCCAAAAGGAAGTATGGATCCATCAATCTTGTCTGAAGCACATACGGATAAATAATAAGTAAAGTTGTTACATCCACAAACGATTTGCCATCGGGTTTTAATTTCATTAAATAATATAAAGTATAAGATATCTAGTAAACAAGAGCTCCAGAATATAAAGAATATTTTAGGGGCAGGTTTGTTGACCCCTAGGCTCATAGTAGTTGTAACGTTGGATCAATTACTGCACTCACATCAAATAACCAATGACACTAACATGAAGAAGAGGTGGTAATAATAATCACATTTAGCAAATAATAGCAACAAAGAAATAAAAAAAGTATGCCATCATAAAGTTGCACAATCAGTATGGTCAGAATTAAGTATGAACTCTTAGTACGTTTCAGACCTGGATGCTGCCAGAACTTCTCATTAGTCACCTCACGAAGAAGCCGTTCCACTGATGTATCCTGATACTGGGGGGTAGTGATAGTTAATGGCTTCTTTGAAGGAAGCTTTTTACCTCCTGCTTTGGGATCACTAGAATTCTGATTAACTAGAGCAGTCTTTCTACCAGGTAATTGTGCATTCTTTGTCTGCCTTGAATCTGTTGTTTGCTTCAATATACTCTGCCTATGATTGGGAAGTGGTTTATCCTCTGCAGCAAGATCTATACCACTAATTGACCTTTTCGGACGAGCTACAGGTCCTGAATTGATGTCACCATTATTACACTCAGATCTTGGATCACCAGACTCCAAGTAACTGCTGCTTTCATTGCAAGACTGATCAACCTGCTTTGCATCTCTCATCATTGGTGGCTGAATCTGCTTATCTCCGCTGCGCTCTGTAGAGGCAGATAGTGGACGCGACTCTTTCACAATACGAGTCGTGACAGGTGGTGGAAAGTTCTGCCTTCTAGGAGTAGAGGTTTTAATGGTTCCCACTTGTTTAACATCTTCCAAATTAAGAAACATTGTCTGCCTACTACGCTTTTTCCCCAACATTGCTTCCTTTTGTTGGTCAAATTTAGGACGCTTTCCAGGGTTATTCGCAAGCTTTAAAGCATGAATTGCTTCAGCACCTCTAATGTCTCTTTGTTTTGGAGCCATCGTAGAATCTTCTTGACTATCCATGGCAATATCACCTTCTGAATTACGACTACCACTACTCTTCCTATCAATTGAATCAGCATCGACTCCTAAAGACGCATGGTTACTATTTTCATCCTTCACATCATAAACATTAGAAGAGGTATTTACCACAGCCGCCACATCAGAATCCCTTTGATCCATTAAAGCAGCCATTGCTTTCACCTGTGACTTATCATCATGGGCAGAAGTCGACTTGTCAGGCACACTACTGCTTTTGTTAGCATCAGCAGAGCCCTCTGCATCAGACCATTCACCTTCTTCTTTTTCAATGACAGAGCCAATATCAATTTCCCTCTTCTGGTCTTCACTAACTTCAGGTGCCTGTGATCCTTTGGATCGAACGAAAGGCTGAAAGCCCGAAACAGAAGATGCATGAGAAAATGCATTGTTGTTTATTATTCTACGAGGACTATTTGATGTTGTAAATAAATCCGAAGTATGGGTTGTTGATGGAACTGCCCTTTGGGGCTGGAAGCAGAAGACACCATCACTCTCCTCATCCTCCTCCGCAGCAGGTTCATTGAGATCAAATAATGGTTTTCCTTTAGAACTCATTACTCATATACATAAATAGATATGTATGTATATACTTATCTTTGTGAAAGATCCACCTCTACTTACAGTTCTTCCAGAACAAAATGGCACACATCATGTTCCCAATACCGCAGGAAAAAGAAGACAAAATTACCTAAGACCGTTGAAGTGTTGGAATAAATGCTAACACTAAAGGTCCTGCACATAAATTCAAGAAGTGACTACATATTAGATAAAATGCAAGCAATCGGAGATTTACAAGCTATAAAAAACCGAATTAAATAGCAATGAGTAACATCTTCAATCCTCTCGTCAGCAAAATGAAATCCCCCCTCCCCTTTGAAGACCAAAGGTGAAGCAGAACATCAACACTACAAATGCTTATATATGAACATCCTCATAAATAGCCCATACACGTACCAACCCTATTACACATTTTGAAAAAAGAAAGACAATGCAATTAAATGAAAGTCATAATCTGAATTAACACCTAACAGAAAGCAACAAATAGAACAACTGGAACACAAACAACAACATATGCATAAAATGGAACAACAAAGAATCTCTGCCTAATCTCTCCAATTAACCATTTACACTCATACAAATATATGATAATTCTCAATGGGGCTTTATAAGCTACACAACAAGTACCCTAAACAAATGAGGATATGGCCAAATTCAGATAAGTCAAACCCATAACCTAGCCTAACTCATACGAACCCAATGTCCCAAAAAAAATCCGATTCTCAAGATCCAACCATCACATTCATCTGGGGCATACCTCATACCATGTCAGAAACCAAACGATCGTAGCACACTCAATCATCAGATTAATGAACATTGTGAATTAGATTTTCACAATCAAAAAAATGTTAAGATGAAAAGGGTTGATTAATTCAATTGAACCCTCGACCCCAAAACCTATATACCAGACATGTATGTATACAAAACCTAAAAAATGAAGATCCCTAAAGACAAATCAAATTAGCAAAAGGGGGGAAGAATCGATGTCCGATGAAGCATATATCGTTGTAGAAATACCTAGTTAATCAATTAATTCATTAAAATATATGGTAGATACGCACGCACCTGGGTGATTGATTGTTTGTGTGCTTATTTGCTGATTCAAATCCAGTAGAGCAAAAGTAGGAGTGAGGAGAGAGAATTCACAAAGGAAAACTGGTCCGTGAATTAGATGTGTATTGGAAGAGAAGGCTGAGTGAGGGTTTTATAGGGCAATGGTGGGGGTAGGGCGTGATGGAGAGGGTGGGTGGGTGGACAGGCAGATGGAGGGTTTGCTTCAGGATCCGGGTTCGGATTCGGGTCCAGATCCGACTCATATATCTTCAATTTCAACCTTCTTTTTTCAGCACATGTTAAAAGATAACTATAAGATTTTAATATTTTATTTTATTTGTTTTTTTAATATTATAATATGATATTATGTGTTCTTAATAAAAGGATAATATTTTTATGTATAAATAAAATATAAATTTAAATATTTCATAAAAAATTAAAAAAAATATATCGATATTAGTATCAATTTAACCATCTAAGAGTTCACATTTTCTGTATAATTTCTTAATTCAATTTTTATTATTATTTAATTTAGATTTAATTACCAAGTAATTTATTTTCAGTTTAGTGATATAATTTTTTATAACGATTAATTAAATGTTCTGATAATACTCAATAATGATCTTAATTATATTTTAAATTTTTTATATTTAAAATGAGATATTTATCATATATTTTTATTATGTTTATCTACAGTTAGTTACATGAATTTAAAATAGAACTTTAGTAAGTTGTACTTACGCATAATTTACTTGTAATCTTGAATCTAAGTAATATGCATAGTAAACAGTACTTAATGCATAAAAAATGATTTTAAGAGTTTTTTGTTAGATGTTTTATAATATAGTATAGATAAATCTCATGTGTTTCATTTTTTTATCTTTTTTCTAAATTATATTTTTTTTTATTGTTTATGGATTGTTTTTTAAATTTGTTTATACTAATTTATTGTTTCTGTTCTAATCATTATTTAAAGTTGATTACATTTATTCAGTATGATCGGTTTGAAAATATCAGCTAGTTCTTCATCTAATCGAAATAACTGGCTAATTGCTGAATTGAACAATTTGGTTTCAAAAGCTAGCATGCTGCTCTTTTGTGATAAAATCAGATAAGTGGTTTAAGGGGAAAAAAATGTTTTAAGATTTATATTAAACTGATGTTGTATACGTTTTTTATTCTTTTGCATAATCTATTTAATTTATTTATTTAAAATTCTACTTTTACCATATTTGTGATTTAATTTTTTAATTGAAAATTGTATTTTCTATTTAATGCATTTTAAAAATATTGTATTTAATTTTTATTTAAATAATATCTTTTTATTTAAGGCAATATTTTAAAAAATTACAATTTGATTAACAATTATTTTTTTTCAATTTTTTATTCATAATCACATGTGATTTAAAGCGTGAAAAACATTGATTCAAATTAAAACTTAAAAAAGAAAACATAATCACATGTGATGTGTAGCATAAAACATTTAACATTTATGAGATCACATATACTTCAAAACGTAATTCAGAATTACAAACATCGCATGTAATGTTTAGGTAACTTACATTTCTTTTCCACGTAAAATTACTAATTATTATGATCAATAGCACATATGATAATATGATGAAAATTAGTGATTCTTTTTTGGAAAAATACGTCGATGAATTGTAGACATCACATGTGATTTTTCACAAAAATTGTAAAAGAAGTATTGAATAAATTAGTGAATTAAAATAAATATTTTCAAATGAAAAACTAAATCATACTTATTTTAAATGTCGTACTAAATAAATAATCATGTTTAAGTCACAAAAATTGCAAAAAAAATCGTAAATAGTTACATTCATTAAATGCTTAAATAACCTTTACCTTTTATTGAATTTGCTTATAATAACAGTTATCACTCATGTATTCAAGTAGCACCCTTCAAGGTTCTATACGACTGAAAGTGTAGAAACTTTTATGTTGGAACGAAGTGGGAGAGAAAACAATTAGTCGGACCGAAAATTGTTCAGTTAATGGTAAATAAGATTGATCAGATTCATGAACTGTTAAAGATAGCTCATCATCGACAGAAAAGCTACACCGACAAACGTCGTAAACCGATTCCAGGTTGGGGATAGTGTGATATTGGAATGTCGTCATAGAAAGGTATCATTTGTTTCGATAAAGAGGTAAACTGAGTTTGAGATATATCGGACCGTTTGCGATCAATGATCAAGTTGGTGAGGTAGCTTACATGTTGAAATCTTCCAAAAGAGTTAAGTGGTATTCGCAGTATTTCATATGTCCAATTTGATAAAGTCTTTAGTTGATTTTGAAGAGGTATACCATTTCCAGAAGTTCATATGGATGAGAAACTACATTTCATCAAAGAGCCGGAAGCTATTACTGATTACAAGGTCAAAAGGTTGAGAACTAAATAGATCGGTTTAGTTAAGGTACAGTGGCATTTTCATAAGGATCAAGAAGCTACCTGAAAATCGGAATCAGATATGTGATCGAAATACCTTGTTGCATTTAAGTCTAATTTTGATCTTTTAAGTTTTTGTCAAGTTAAGATTTTAAATATCTGGAAACTCATCATCTCCATCTTGTTCCTTAAACTTCGGTTTCGATTTCAAGTTCTTGTGATGAAGGAGTTATACCCATTGATTTCGTTAATCCATTTCTCTTGAGTTAATTTATGTTAAAAGGTTGAGTTTTAAAATTTTAAAATCCGGTTTTATCTAGAAATCAAACATTTTTTCAGTATGGTTTAGATTTTTGCGTTTGCAAGTCGAGTCGAGGCAAGGGGAAAGGAGGTGATACTGTGAACCACACGACCTAAGTCGTGTAGGTCATTATAGTGACGATTTTTACGTTTTTCATGCATGTTGTTTTGAGACCAAAAGATGATTCTTAATTATATTTTTGGGATGTTTGATGCTGGTTTTAGTTGTTGTTGTCAAAGATTGAAATATGGGATTTAATCGGAAAAAAGGTCAAAACAATGGCTTGCGCAACATTCATCATGAATATTTTTATATATTAACGTGTATACAACAACTTTTCATCAATTCATACATCAGTATGATATTTGTCATATATACATATTTTCATTGTAACATTCATCATGAATATACATACTATTAGTCATGAATATGTATGCATGATTACGTGTATACAATAATTTTCTAGTAGTTATATTTGTATGATATTTATCATAAATATTAATTTTCAACATAATATTCATCATGCATATACATATTATTTATCATGAATATACTACAGTTTCAACTTTACATATTTTAATTTTTTTTTTCTTTATACGATTCTCGATTGATCTAGATGAGTTCCCCATTTGTCTTGATAGATTTTCCGATCCATCTCGATAAAAAGTTAAAAGTGGTAGGTTATGGTTTTACACAAACAAACACACAATAAATTAATTAATAGGTTCCCAATCGGTCACAATAAAAAATGAAGGTGTATGATTTCAATACACAAACACACACCAAGTTAATAAATGGGTTCTTGATTAGTCTGGATTGGTCTCGATCAATCCTGATTGGTCATGTTCGGTCCCGATTGGTTGTCGATTGATCTCGATGGGTTCCTGATCCGTCTCGATAAAATCTGAAAGTGGTATGTAGTCTATGGTTTTACACACATAAACAAATAACAAATCGATTGATGGTTCTCGATGAAAAATGAAGGTAGAAGGTTATGGTCTAACACACATAAACACATATCAAGTAAATGAATGGATTCTCGACCTTTTTTCGATTGGTTTTGATGGGTTCTCGATCGATCTTGATGGGTCTTAGGTTAGGGTGATAAAGAACACGGTGTCTTACGACGTTGCAGAAAATGTTGAAGAATGTGATGTCGATTTACGGACTTATGGTGTAGAGCTGTTGTACACACATGAGCGTACATAAATATTCATAATGAATATAACACAAATATATCATTTCAAGTAAAAACGGTTAAAACAAAGAAAAAAAAACTATATCAAGATGGATGTCATATCGAAGAACATAAAATTCTCGTTCTTTGATATAATTTATTTAATTAAAACATTAGTAAATTTTAAGATGATTTATTTTAAACTTTAAGAGGTAAAAGTTTTTTAATTAAAAATAAAAAGTCAAATAAGGTATGTATGAGACTCAAATTAACTTTCTTTTTTTACTCCTAATCACCTTATTAATAATTTTAATTAAAAACTCTATTTAATGTAAGGGGCCGTTTACTAAACACTTGATAAGTATTTATCTGATAAATTTTCTCATCGGATGAACATGAGAAGAACCCAACAATCTTACCGGAGAAGAGCGATAGGAAGGAATGAAGATTCTTACCCGTAAGTGAGGAAGACAACTTTTACCCAGATAAGCGCTTACCCAGTAAATTGTTGCATTCGATATGTTTTAATGTACTAAATTCTTACGCATCAAAATAAATGATAGTGTTGATTCATTATCAATAAACACTTACCGAGTAAGCATTTAGGTAAACAACCTCTAAGTCGTTAAATTAAATAAAATAGAAGTCAAGATCAGTCTTCATATTTATAATAAAAATGAAGTTTGCAATATATATATATATATATATATATATATATATATATATATAAGAGAGAGAGATTCACAACTCCATGATATTATATAATGTACTTTTTATAAGTTGAATAACTTGTGGGTGCATTTATTTTTATCAATGTACATTGAATCATGTGTTAATAAAAATTTGGCACATTTTGTGACTTCAAAAACCCATACAACGTTTTATTATTTATTTAAAGAATTATTTAGTTTTAAATGACCAAGGTCATGTTTGACAAAAATTAACAGATAAACATGTAAAATGATCAAAAAGTACATCTTAAAAAAATAATCAATTACAATATTGCCTATACTATCTTATAAAGCATTTGGCTAAAACTCTTAAAAATTCTTAAAACTCTTAAAAATTCTTAAAAACTCTTAAACCCGTTCATCCCTAAACGATTTCATCCCTATCCGATTTCATCCCATATCTGAATTCATGTAACTAACTGCAGATAAACACAATCAAATACATGATAAAAATCTCATTTTAAATTTTAAAATTTCTAAAATATAATTCATTAAATT